CCAGCTGCTCTGGACCGGTTTGCATTGGGCTGTGATGACACGAGACTTGTCCATGCTACGCCATTTCGAAAGCTTCGACCATGCAGCTGGAGCGAAGGACGCGAAGGGACGCACGGCGCTCAGCATGGCAGCTCGTTTGGGCTTAGTGGATCATGTGGAAGCTCTGTCAAGCCAGTCAGACTTGAATTCTGCAGATGAGGGTGGCATGACGCCGCTCATGTGGGCAGCTCGAGGTGGCCATGTTCAGGTTTGCAGGAGATTGACAGAAATGCCTCAATTGCAGCCTCTCAAGAATGATTCACAAAACAACACCCTCTTGCATTGGGCAGCCTTCAGCGGCAAAGTGGAGGCGGTCGATCTCTTCCACAAGGTCCTGATGAACTGCACCAATCATTGGGTCAACAGCGCCAATAGTTGGAAGGAGACGGCGCTCTTCAACGCTGTTCGCAGCAAAAAAGCCACGTTGGTCCAGCACATGATCAAGGAGTTGCACTACGACCCCAATGTCTCAAATGCCTTTCTGCAGACACCTTTGTTTGTCGCCCTCCGGCAATGCACCAAAGATGTGTGGGAGGAATTGGCACATCACACGGATCTTCAGCATAAAGATTACTTGGGATACCGCATTGATGAGATGCCGGAATTCAACAGCAATGTGTGCTTGAAAAGGACAAAGTCGGAGGACTATTTCAAGCTGGACGTTCCGGTGCCATCCACTCAATTCAGCCAGAAGCTGCTTTCCGTCGGGACCAACACGACCTTTCACGGGTACCTCTTCCTGACGATACTCCTTTCGTTTCTCGTGGCCTGCATCGTGAAACTTTGGAGCCATTGGCGAGCTCCACCCACTCAAAGCGCAGGGCTTGATGCCGAAGATTCTTCTGCCTCAGAAACTCATGAGTCAACAGAGTCAATGGAGTCCTCTAGGTTTAGTAGAGGCTGCGCAGGTTGTGGTCAGAGAGTCCTCGACATATCACTCCGTGCTTCCCAAATTCAAACAGCGGCGAAGCATTTAGATCAGACCTTGCAGTGGAAGCTGTACGCAAGGCGTTGCTTGGACGTCGTTGCTGCAGTCGTGTTCCCAACAATCATGATCCGTGTTCTAGGATGGGAGCACATGCTGGTCTTGTCGATTGCAACATACATCCTGCCAGCCCTTTGCAAGCAGACGAAATTTCGGGATGAGATTGCAGAACGCCCTGCCAAACTATTTGGGGTGAGAGACTTCTGGGCTTGGTTGAGAACGGCTTACTTGCTGTTCCAGCTCTTGTGGTGTATCACAGAGCGTGATGTCGTGTGGCACGAGCATGATCAGGTGTGGCATGAAACTCACAAGTATTTGTGGGACCGGCAAACTTATCCAATGTCTCAGATGAAGGAAGTATCGAAAAACGAACTTTTTCCAATCCCGTTTCCTCCACTGAATGATAGCTGGCCGGTCTTCAGGATTGCAGTGGCAGTGGCTGTGGCAGCTGGAAGCATTGGCGGCCTTGTGCTGCTGAAGAACCGCGTGAAGACTATCTTGCCCAGGGCTTGCGACTGGAACAGGACCTATGTGCTGGTTGAGGACCCGACATGAATGAGCCCTTGAAGATTCCGTGCTTAAACGATCGAATTCTTACTGTGTTAGACAAGTCTTTTCTTCCGCTTTGTGGACTTAGCACTGCACCTCTGGACCATCCCATCCCATTCAGCAGGTGCCCATGTGACATCCCTAGAAATCAGGTCTCCTTGCCATAGCTGTCCTAAGTGTTTTTTTGTGTACATCTAAAACTTGCGTGTACGACTTTTGCTAGCCTGACTCGGTTTTTTAAACGGATAGGCTAACTGGAATAACAAAACGGACCCCCTCCTCAAGTAGGCAGACAACGCCTCACCGTGAGTTTCCACATACCTGCCACATGTCTGCGTCGGAGGTGTTCAGTTCTTCGCGTAAGGCCCATTTCTGTAAAACAAAACGATGTCAAACGATTATGAAACAATGATTTGATAGCGAAGCTAATCTGACAATGAAGAAGATTTCATTTGACAACAAAGACGATGTGACAAAGGAACATGTGCTCGATTCAGTGCTTGGTCGCCTTTTTAATGTGATAGCAAAGCTGGTCCAAAGGAAAATCTAATGATGCGACTCATTGATGACAACGTGTTGGTGATGATATTGCTGTGAACGCAAAGACATTGGTTGCAACATGTTGGGTAAACCGGGGGGGTTAGCCCCGAACGCAACACACCGAGGGTGAAAAAAACGTGTGTTTTACAGGGTTTCGTGGCTTTCCGGACACTCAACTTATCGTCTTGCAACTCATGAGTTGCAAGACGATAAGTTGAGTGCGTTTTGACGGACCCAACCCACCCGCCTGCTCCATGTACAGCTTGCCAATTTTCCAGCCGCCAGACATCAGTCTTGTTCCCAATTGAGCCATTTGAGCTCACTGTACATTTAAGCTGGCGGTCAAGAGTCCAACCCGGGATGTTGGCGGAACCACAACGCTGCGAGACCTTCAACGTGCTGTCGTTGCAGCTTTGCATCGCAACGGCCAAGAAAACCCATTCTACGCAGTGCTAAAACAGTCGAGCCCGTCATGTCCTCTAAGCCAAGAAAAGCGGTCACCGAGCGAACGAAAGGTCACCGAGTCGACAAGTCAACGTCAAAGTCGATGTACGCGAGTAGTAACACGGACGAAACTGACCCCAACCCCCCCCCAACCCCCACCCTGAAAGACCAGTCAACGGATCGGATATATGTTGCCGGCGGGGCTAACCCCCCCCCGTTGGCACAACATGTTGCAACAGAGGACTCACGCTGAGGCCGGCTTGGAAGAAACCCATGATTCTACATGAACTATACCGACCTCAGCGACCTCACCTGAAAATAACGACCCACTTTTTGAAATTAAGGTTCTTGACTCATACACACAGAACACACATACGGCTACAAGTCCAAAAAAAGCAAAAGTCCTATGTGCTGCAGATAGGCGCGCTCCTGCGCCTGATGGAATGGAAGGGGTTGTCTTTCATCAAAACACAGTAGAGGCCCCATCTGCTGCAGATAGGCACGTTTCTCCGCCTGCTGGAGTGGGAGGGGTTCTCTTTCATCAAAACATAGTAGAGGCCCTATCTGCAGCAGATAGGCGCGTTTCTCCGCCTGCTGGAGTGGAAGGGGTTGCATTTCATCAAATCACACTAGAGGCCCTATCTGCTGCAGATAGGCGCGTTTCTCCGCTTGCTGGAGTGGAAGGAGTTGTCTTTCATCAAGATACAGGAGAGGCCCCATCTGCAGCAGATAGGCCTGAAAGAATCGAGTCCAGGACCTGCGACTGAAAGGTTAACGCCTGGGCCTTATCCATTAGGCTATAGGACCTCTTGTGGTAGAGCAGCCGCTTGCCTTTAAAAAGATTCTTTACTGGACTGCACCTGCGCTTCTCTTTGAGCAAGCGACACCAGAAGCCCTATCTGCAGCAGATAGGCGCGTTCCGCTTTCTGCTGCATTGGATGGGGTGGTCCCCAATCAACATGCAGCAATAGGCCTATTTGCAGCAGATAGGCGCGTTTTCTCCGTCTGCTGGAGTGGGGGTTTGTTGTTCATCAAGACACAGTAGAAGCCCTATCTGCAGCAGATAGGCGCCGTCTGCTCGAGTGGAAGGGGCGCCTATTCATCAAAACGCGAAATTTGAAAAGCCCTATCTGCAGCAGATAGGCACGTTCCTCCATCTGCTGGGGTGGAAGGGGTGGTTTTTTGAATAGACGCCACAAGGCCCATCTGCACCAAGTGGGTCCAACTCAAACCAAAGAACAGCGGAAGCCCTAGCCTAACGGAGTTCAATTGCCCAGCGACCCGATGAAAGCCATCCACGAAACTCCGGCCTTGTCAAAGAGAAAGGCGTTGCTGACAATGCAGTGTTGTTGCGCGCGCGTGTGTCCATGTGGTCCAATGTTAGTTCCGACCCGACATCACTTAATTTCGTATTTCCGACGACGTCACTTATTCCATTTCCAAATTAACGAAAATAAGCGACGACCCGCGAATTATTGTAATTCACCCAGATGATTGCTCAACCAAGGCACTCGGACCCTGCAAAAGACAATCTTGAACGCCCAACCCATGCAAAAGATAACCTGCTGTGCGGCATGGCAAACCCCGGACAGCGATAGCTATAGGCTATAGGAGTTCTTACTTCTCAATGACTGGGTGCCCGTATTCCGTGTTGGTTTGCTGCTGTGGGCGGCTGCTGCGCTGCTGCCTTGCCTCCCCTCTTGTCTCTTTACATGTCTCCCCACTGGTCTCACGGGCTCGCTGGGCTAAGAGGAAAAGATGCGCTTCCGATTGAATTAGAATTAGTTGCTGCCTGGTGTCTATGCCCGTGTCGTTTGTTCAGTTCCACTGGCACCATATTATGTCACAAAGCAAAGACCGCTTTCGCAGCTGCTGATGTCCATGTTTTTGTTTCTGCAGCCCGATAAACCGTTCGCCCGGACGGTCAGGACCCTGAAGAGAACCTTCCCAGTCACGAAGGGAGCGAAGCGACCCAGTGGATTTCTCCTCGGAATGCCGCCTTGGGAGTCGCATATCTCAGTGGAGCTTTGTTGCTCGCGGGATTGTGGCCAACGGCTCCAGCTCAGCTACCCATGTCGTTGGGTGACGTCTTGATCCTTTACCGTTTCTTGGTGTTGATGCTCACTTGTCTATGGGTCGTGTTAGTCATGTGGAATCTTTTCGCAGAACACGCTGCCAGCTGCGAGCCAAACACACCGACAACACACGAAAGCCACAACACGTTGAACGAGGTCGCAGAAAGGGTACATCAGATTGCCACGCAGAGGCGTGATGAAGGAGGTGCCCAGGCCGTCAGCCTGGAAGATGCAGCATACTTCGAGAGACACTGCAAGCAGCAGACACATTGGACGTCTTCAAAGAAGCCTTCTTCTGGCTGTTGGACATCGTGACAGATTTGTACACCATTGTCAACTTCGCAGCGGCGAGATCTTTCGCGGGGTATATGTTTGCATCTTTGATCCTTGGAGCAGGCTTGTTGGGCTTTTTCAGGGCACTTTTGGATGGAGTCTTCATGAAGCTTGGCTCCGCTGTGCGGCAAACTTTGAAAACAGGTGTCCGTGCAGAGGAACTTCACAACTTACTTGAGCTGGAGGTGGTGATTGAAGTGCCAGTGTCCTTGATCATGACTACTTACGGCCTTCCTGAGGTGTCACATCGCCCTGCCAGTGCTTTCATGGCCCTGCTCAGCATTGTTTTATCGCTCACACGACAGGCGAAGTGGTTGTACGAAGAGTTCGATGTGTGTGGAGGTATGGACGTGTATCAGACCGAGAAGACCCCCAAGCATCAAATGAATGCTCCAACGCCAGAGTTCTTTCCAAAGCCTTGACCTAAATCCAAAGAGATTCTTTCAGATCTGAGTATATATATCTGAGTGGCTAAAAGGGCCTATTTGCGTTGTTGGTAGTCGAAGGGCATGTCTTTTGACGTTGAGCTTCTGCAGGTTGAGGGGTTGCGCGCAGAAATTGCAATTCCCTTTGGCTCAAGATACTCGGCAATTCCAGCAGCTATGTGCTGACACAGCTGACACATTGTATATGCATATGAGACCGCTTATGAGCTACCGTAAGACATAAAAAATAGATATATACATACGGTGTAACATGATACACTGTAAAAGGGATCTCCACAATGGGCACCACAATCACCAGCTTCATGTTGTTTCTTTAGTGATGGTGCAACAAACAGAGCTTCCGTTTGTGCAGAACAAGCTGGAGCTTCATGGAACATACTTCACTGGTCCCAGGTATCTCCTCCAGGTCTCTCGAAGAAATGTGTTTTAAACGTCCGGCCGCTGCTTACTTTGTGCGTTACTCCTTGCAGACACTGATGTCCAAACCTTAAGGTTTCCATAAGCACATCGATGTGTGTGTGGGAGGAAGAAGGCAACAAGTTGATCTTTTCAGCAGACGTCCACTCAATATCTATGGCACACGCGTCGGCAGAGCATGGCCCACTTCTGACTTGGTCAGCCAGGCTGCAAGCAGTTTTGATCAGCCAAGTGTTGCAAGTCTTGTCTTGTCTTGTCTCCGTCATGTTTTTTTTTTCCCAGGCGAGTCTGTGAGGGTTAAAGGAGCTTCAGATGGGAATGGCAGGCCCGAAAAACCGATCGACCCCTTTTGCCCAAAGAGTTGGTATTGTAGTAGCATCCTTGTTTCTAGTAGCGATGCCCTTTGCTCCTAGTAGCGTCCTCTTGTTCGTGATGGCAAACGTGTGACATTTCGCTCAGCCGGGCTCGGCCGCTTCGCTAAGCTTGTTCAGGATCAATGCAGACGGAAGCAGAGGCAAGGAGATTTGCAAGACGAGGTCGACAGAGTAGTGCACGTGAGCAAAACGAATTCTTCATTTTGATGCCCCCCAATGTCTTGGATTTCAATGTATATAAGTGTTTTACCTTAGCAGCGCGAGGTTGTTTGATCATGATGAGCATGTTTCAAGCACGTCATGCCTGCATGGCCCAAAAGATAATCCGCAAACGTGTGGAAGACATCAACGTCCCAAGGCTAATGATCTGCAAGGTGAGCCAGAAAATTTGTGATTCATGGACTATGTTCAATTAGCCACAAATACTACATTCTTGGCAACAGGCTGGTGAAACGGCAGCTGCAACACGTTGAGCTCTCAGGTCATCAAAGTGGATTATTTGCAAAGTTTAGTTGCGATAGCAGTGGGTTTTCGCTACGCCTAAGAATAGGTCAGCCACACTACGCAACTGGCCTGAGAATTTGGACGCCGGCAACAGTTGTTGGGAGTCTGGAGGGCTTTTCTAGCAAAGAACTTTTTGTTAATCGCGAAGAGGAAGGGTGAAATCCCCAGCTCAGCCAAGGTCCTGACGTGGATGCAAGAGGCTGGCGGCTCAGACAATGCTTGCTCCAAGTTTTGGCTGATCCTTTGCAGAAAACTTTTAAAATCAGAAGTTGGGTCTGTCATGGGCCGTCCAAGTTGTCGTCGTCGGCCGCTCAAGTGCCCGAGATTTGAGCAGATTGGAGGCAGGACGGCGCTGCACCTGGCTGCTCTCAAGCAAGAGATCGAGGAGGTGGAGCATTTGCTGGCCAATGGTGTTGCGATCGAGACCACAGACAGAGAAGGCCAGGGTCCTCGAGTTTCGGCGGACTGGCGCATCAAAGGTGAAAGATTGAAGCCTTTAGACGCCTGTTGGAACACTGTAGACGCAGTGGCTATTTTTGAAGAAATCGAGAAGCTCCTGAAGTGCAAGCACTGGTTTAAATGCTGCGGTGAAGGCCCAAAGAAAAGCGAGTAGCGCTTGCGATTTTTACCTTGACTGATATGAGTTCCTTCTGAGTTTATTCTGAAATATAAGGAATAGCGCGTTCGATGGTTGATATGATATTTTTGGTGTCGACTCTGCAAGACGATGGGGGCGAAACCGAAGCCTTTAAACGGGCGTTGGTGGATGGTGGATGGTGGACGTGGACTGAAGGCAGTTCGAGACGAGATGAGACGCTCATACGAGTAATTGCGATGTCGAGCCTTGCTGCCTCAACAGCCCCGCGTCTCCAAACAATTGTGCAGATGACGGACATTCGAAGTTGACCTCGTGTTCGCCTAGATAGGAGGAGTCACGTCTTTAGCCGTTCATTGCATCCTACAACAACGTAGCAGGCAAAGAAGGCCATAGAACAATACTTTTGAGACTCTGCACCTTGAACGAGCTTCAACTCAACAAGCTTCAACTCAACAAGCTCCGAGGCCGAACACCTTTGCACCTTGCAGCCGAGAACGGCCACCTTGCCATAGTTGACCGGCTGCTGGCCGCTCGCGCAGTCCTGGATACGAAGGCCGACAAAGGCCTGGAAAGCCGGAGGCTGTCGAAGCCGGAGGGTAGGAAAAGTTCAGTCACGAAGCGATACTGTAAGACTGTATGATGTTCAATGTTTGGCTATACGGATGTTTTCAGATGTGTATTTGCATGAGAGATCCGTGCCAAATGAACACCCAGGCTTGTTTGACTCAACTAATTAACATGGAAAGGCAATCATATCTTAGATTCTATTACTGTGCAAGAGCAAGTAGCAAAGTAGGTTCACATTCACAGAAGGCTCGGTTCCTGCATTCACTTTACAGTGGTACAGCAAAGTTGCTGCACAGCAGACATCATCCCAAGAGCAAGAGATATGATGTAAGCGTGACAGCATCGGATTTGCTCAACGCACGCACACAGACACATCTATGGATACAGTATACATGTGTGTTTGCATGACTCTTGAATACTTAGGACCCATCCAAGAAGTATCTATGGGCCCGCAGATTAGTGACTTCAAAATTATTTTGCTCTTCATGTCTTAATGCCCAAAGTCAAGCGAAGGGTTCCTGTTTTGTGTGGGGGATCGAGCTACTAGTAAGGATGACCTGTGTTTGTTTCACGTCTTGTGTAATGTTTGCACAATGGTTGTGTTGCATTGGTCATGGTTTACCCTGAGTTACCAGTGACACGAAGCTGTACGTACTGCTGGTCCGCAAAGGATGACACGCACAAAACGAAAGGTGTACCAAAACGGACACTTGAAACGAACCCAACTGAGACGGTTGGAAGCCGCTTTTGCACAAGCCTGAAAAAGGTGTTCAGGCTGAAACCTTCAGGTTATGAGCCCAAGGTTGGAGGTGTAAGACCCAGCTTGAGGAGGTCGATCGCTGGGCCGCCCTGCGCAAGCGAAAGCCATGGCCATGATGGTTCGCCGACGAAGACGGCAACCTGGCGATGATGGAGAAGGAGAAGAAGCCGATCCGGAAGGTCTCCCACTACATGATCGGCAGCTGGAGGAAGAGCAGCTTGCTCTGGAGGATGGTGAAGATGGTGGGGAAGAGGAGACCTTGGAAGGCCCGAAAGGACCGCCTACGACCTTGACACCGATGACCCCACTCTTCACACCGGAACAGCTGAAGGGACTTCATGAAGTGCAGAGCCAAGCTCCTCACCTATATGCTCAAGTCCCGAGGCAGAGCATTTGGCAGCCTGGTATGGCGAGCAGGTCTCCGGAAGAGGTGAAAAGGGACAGACCGCAGTTCCTGCCGAAGGAGGAGGGTCCGGCTGGAGCACTTCCGCAGACGAGTACAACGACGGGGACACCATCGCCGGCACTGATGGGGGATCATGTACCAGAAGACCAACGACGTGGCCGACCAAGAGAACCACGGGTACCTGAAGTGCATGAACCAGGAAGTGAAAGTGATGGTCAAGAACCAGTCCCGATCCGAGAACAGATGATGGTTCAAGTTCATGGCAATGGACCTGGAGGACGAGGCCTACATGTTCCTAAGGGCTTTGGACAGAGTGGACCACCGGGTTACATCATGCCTCATGAAGAGAGGACTATGCCACATCAAGGAGGATGGCAAGTACAACTACATCCCTATGGCCCTGGTCCGCCGAATCCGCAGGAGATGATGACAATGTTGGCGATGTTGAAGCAGGAGAATCAACTGCAGATCCAACAGGCAGAGCTCATGGACGCGATGAAGTACCAGCGGGCGAGCCTGGAAGCTAAGGTTCATGACCTTCAACGTGAGCTGGAGCAGCAGGCCTTCAGAACGCCAGAGAGCGATGAGTCTGTGAAGCGCCAGCTGGAGATGACAGTCGACGAGCCCCCAAGGGAGACGGACTTGGAGGTGGAAAGACGTCGCCTGTATGAGTTGACTCCTATGCAGCAGTTCGAGCAGCTCCAATCCTTGATGGGGACGGTCACTCCGGCACCGGCGAAGCGAGGTGGTCGAGGGCAAGGGCAACGAGTTAAGGTCGAGATCTCAAGGTCCAAGAACCACTCATCAAGGAGGAGGTCAACCTGAGGGCTTGGTGGCATCTCGGGCAAAGGGCTTCGAACCGGATGGGAGACAAGGGACAGGAAAGGGAGTGGGCCAGACAAAGAAGAAGTCCATGGCTGAGCAACCTGGCCGATCTTCGGCGGCCAAGGTAAAGGAAGAACAACCTGGTGAAGGTGGTGGCGGTATGGCTGATGCTATATATGTCCAAGCTGATCACCCACTTGGTCGACAAAGACAAGAAGCAAGAAGGACCTGAGTCGGTCAAGCCGGGAACTGTCACACTCCCAAGCTGGCAGAGCCATCCGACACGGCTCTCATCGACCTGGCAGACTGGCTCACTATGGTGGAACCGGCGATGACAGATCTCAGTGACTCGTCAGGCGAATGGTGGGAGTTGGTGGTGAGCGAGGCAAGAGCTTGGTACAAGCAGTACATCAAGCTACGTCCAATCCAGAGGGCTTCATCCAAGATCGAGCCGTCTGCAGAGCTGCAAAAGCCGAAGTGGGCTCGAGTGGAGAAGAGGGCCATCAGCATGTTGCTCTCCTCAGT